GAGGTAAGTGTTTGGTTTAACCCTAGCTTGAGGGAATAGGAGTTGAGTCTTATTTGCTACTTGCTAATTGTCGGGTACGATGTATAGGCATGGTGACGAGTATCTATACATTGGTGTCTAGCATGACCGTGAGTCCTTATTTTGCGAATAGTTTGGATTTTGTTATACCTTCCATGCTAAATTGATGACTTCTAAATGTTGTAAAGAGCTTGTGAAAGGAATTGTGACCTTTAGACTTCGTGGAGTGTTGGCTCGAATTGAAATACAAATTGTGAAGGTATATGAGAAAAGTAAATCTTTGGAGCATTGGCTCGAGTGACAATGGGAACTATGAGATGAAAGTGAAAGAAAGAGAAAGAGTTATTGAATATTTTTCCTTGTGTGCCGGGACGTTGAGATTATTGATGTTATACCCTTGCCGGGTTTTAATTGTTTGTTTGTGTTCCCTTGCCGGGATTTCCATTATTGTTTATTTATTTCCTTGCCCTTGTTTGTGATTGTTGATTGGGTGAGGAAGAGTGTTAAAAGCACGAAGGGTGATGCCGTGCACTTATTGCCGTTTGCTATGATTTCTTGTTGTTATTAGTTCAAGTGCATTAAATGTCTTATTCCACTATTTCTGTGATCCTTTATGTTGACATTCCCATTTTTTGTGTTATTTGTTATTATTGAACCAAGGTGCCCTTGCGCAACGTTATGTCTTGAATTTATGCCTTAATTGCTACATGTTTATGTGACTTAATTGCTACGCGACATTCAACGTATTAATTACTAAACTGTCTACTTGCCTCCTTATAATCCATAATTAACTGCTATTTGTCATTATTTGTTTTCCTTAGTGAGTCATAAAATTTTGTGTACTTATTAAATTGTTGCGTTTGTTAGAGTAAATTTTCTTTTGGAGGAACTGTTGAGTTAATGAAATGGGAGCGGGTGGTACGCCTACCACAAATGATATTGAAATGGGAGCGAGTGGTACGCCTACCACAAGTGATATATTGAAATGGGAGCGGGTGGTACGCCTACCACAAGTGATATATTGAAATGGGAGCGGGTGGTACGCCTACCACAAATGATATATTGAAATGGGAGCGAGTGGTACGCCTACCACAAATGATATTAAAATGGGAGCGAGTGGTACGCCTACCACGAGTGATATTGAAATGGGAGCGGGTGGTATGCCTACCACGAGATATTGAGAAATGGGATTGGGTTGCACGCCTGCAACAAGATGAGTTGAATATGAAAGTTGTCTTATCTCTTCATTTATTGCTAGAAATTAAACTGTAGATGTACGTATCATTATTCCTGATATTTTATTTCTATCGGTTACCCCTGAAGCATGCTCCCTTCCCCAGCTTAAATTGTTATTTTCTTGCTACTTTTCCGTTGTTCTTGTATATATATATATGCACAGGTTTATTTGGTGGTCTGGTCCTAGCCTCGTCACTACTTCGCCGGGGTTAGGCTAGGCACTTACCAGCACATGGGGTCGGTTGTGCTGATACTACACTCTGTGCTATTTTGCACAGATCCAGGCTTCGGACAGCAGCAGCAGTAGTGTGGGAGCAGGCTTTCAGTCCAGCGAGACCCGAGGTAGCCTTGCAGGCGTTCGCAGGCTCTGGCGTCTCCTTTCATCTATATTCTTGTTTCCTTCATGTATTTCTGGAGACAGTGTCGAGTTTATTTCTTTCAGACCTTTATGTGTAGTATTCTTAGACCGTCTGTGAAGCTGTGACACCAGTCTTGGGTAGAGGCTTTTGTTGGGATTTTCCGCATTTTTAATTCAGTTTTCTATAATATTGAGATTGAGACTTCCGCTTATTATTTAAATTCGTTACTTTTGTATTATTGCCGATAATGGTTATAAGGAATTATGTTATTAATGGAAAGGTAATTAAAATTGGCTTGCCTAGCTCTCATTAGTAGGCGCCATCACGACTCCCGAGGGTGGGAAATCCGGGTCGTAAACATGCAAACAAGTCTTAAAACATCATACGAACTTGCTCGTGCGATCAACTCGCCAAAATAACATCTAGAACTACGGATTTAGCACCAAAACACATGAAATTCCTAAGAATACTTTGAAATTCCTATTTTCACAACCGGACGTCCGAATCACGCCAATCAGTTCTGTTTCTCACCAAATTTCAGAGATAAGGCATAAATATTATTTTGGACCTGTACCGGGCTCCGGAACCAAAATACGGGCCCGATACCAACAAGATCAAACATTAACCAAATTCTTAAAACCAATTGATTTTCAGTCATACAATTTTCATCAAAAATTCATTTCTCGGGCTAGGGACCTCGGAATTTGATTCCGGGCATACGCGCAGGTCCCATATTTTGATACGGACCCACCGGGACGGTCATAACACGAGTCCGGGTCCGGGTCCGTTTACTCAAAATGTTGACCGAAGTCAACTAAATTAACTTTTAAAGGCAAAAATTATTATTTTTATCAATTCTCCACATAAAAGCTTTTCGAAAACGCGTCCGGACTGCGCACGCAAATCGAGAAGGAATAAAATGAGGTTTTGAAGGCCTCGGAATACGGAATCGAGTTCTAAAACAAAAGATGACATTTCGAGTCACCACAAAGTCCCTCACACCTAAATTTGACAACTAATCATAATACCAACACAAGTTTGAACAATAGGACTACAAGCCAATAGGCACGTATAGAAAGTTACCGATGAAACAATTACAATTATTTTGTGCGGGTGAAATGCCATTAGTATTTTAAATTAGAGGAAAAAGGTAAATAGTTAGAAAAAATTTAAGTAATAATATATCAACAGTGTCAAAGAATTTTTGCACCAGTAGAACATTTAATGTGTTATAACATAATTACTCATCATTTATTCTGGGATATTAATTAATATTTATTAAATAAATTTACTTGTTATTATCTTTTAATAAATTTTATGACATAAATATTTCTTGCACTCGAAGTCAAACTCTAATTAAAATGGTAATGAAATTATTTATTGAAATATAGCATCTCAACAAGATTGATAGGGATTAGGTTTATCCTTGACAATAATAGCTGTAAAGCTGACTAGATGCATAGTAAACCATATCCTTTCTTGGATTTATACTATTTAACGTAAACCAATGGATTTACATCTCATAATGACATTGCCAATGGCTTATCTTTTATTTTTTATTTGAATATTTATTCAATTTGTACTTTTTTTATAAATTAAAATTTCTTTTTTCTAACAAGGACAATCAGTGGATTAGGATTCAGGATAAGACCCACCCCTTCTTTTTTCTTCATTTATTATTATATTTTTTATTTCTGAATTTCATAAACATTGACAATGTAATTTTTTTTATACTTATTAACAAAATTTTAACTTATAATTTTAGGTCAGTTATCATTTTTATGAGATTATAAAACAATAACTAAAAATTATATAAAATTATAAAAATGAGTGATCTGATTGTATAAATATCTCTTTACACGTCAGACTTAGACTGTGTATTTTTTTATATATATACCCCAATTAGCCCCATTATTCTATTTACTTATCTTTAAGGTTTCTTAATTATTTTCTAAACAAAAGTTTTTTCTTTTCCATTTTATTTATAATGATAACTTATCATCTCAATATTATATAAACAAGATATGTCTCATCTGTTCTGCTCTTCTTCTCCTTCTTGTCTCAAAGATCTAAACTTTTTCAATGTTAAAAATTTCTCTTTCTCTGTTTACAAATACCATCACCAACCTTTTCTTTAAAATCCCATTTTTATAATTTCCAATATTTCTTAGTTTTGGCTTATAATATTTTTTTTATGTGATCTGAAGCTGAGGAAAATTAAAAAGAAATGTCTGTGAGTATGATAATGAAGAAAAGAGAAGTTGAAGGTTCATCTGGATTTATGCATGCATTATCATCTGTTTGTGTTGATCCAAATGAAAAATATGTTTGTGGTAATAATAAAAATATGTTTTTTTATGAAGAGAAAATTAATGAAGAAAAGTCATTGAATTCATGTAGTTCTTCATCTTCAATTGGAAAAAATAGTGATATTTCAGAAGGATCAATGGAAAAAACAGATGATTCTGAGGAAGTTCAGAGTTCTTATAAAAGTCCTTTGAATTCTATGGAAACTCTAGAGGAAGTTTTGCCAATGAGGTAATTTTTACAGCTTTTTATCTGTTTTTTTTTTTTTTAAATTTTGTTCCTATTTTCTCTTATTTTTTAGATGAAAAAAATTGCATTCTTCATCATCCAGCAACTGATGAAGTTTTTCTTTTAAATTTATTGAGGTTTTTACTTTTTTTTTTTTTTAATGATCTCTTCTAGATTACCTGTGTTGTTTTAGGAGAAATCAAAGCTTTTGATTTGTTTGACAAAACCAACCTTTTCCTTAGTTTATTAATCATTTTTTTTTAGATTAAGAACATAGTGGTGTTGCTAATTAGCTGGAATTCAACTATATTATTTAGGAAATCCAGATTCTTTAGCATATTCACCAATATTATAGTCTCCTATTTTTTGTCCTTTTGAATATTCAATTTCTTAAGAAAGTGAGAATCTTCCAACACTTGAGAGAAATCAAGAATCAGTTTTTTTAATTTAAAAAAACATATTTTCAAGGCCTTATCAAAATGATTCTCATGATTTACCCTTTCTAGTAGGAATCTATGCCTAGAAAATTAATTTTTCTTTATGTGCTCTAATTTTTCATTTTTTTTATCTTCTTGAGCCGAGGTCTATTGGAAACAGACTCCACACTACCCTCCTCAGACTCGACACTACCCTCCTCACACCCCACTTGTGAGATTTCACTGGGTTGTTGTTGTTGTGCTCTAATATTTTATAGATATGGATTTCAATGAGCTATTATTTTTACCAAAAATATTAATTTTTATCTCTTTTAGTAGGTTCTTTTTAGGAAAAAAATATTATCTCTAGATTTCCAATTAACATATGTGTGATTTATGCAGAAAGGGTATCTCAAGATTCTATAATGGAAAGTCAAAATCATTCACAAGTTTAAGAGAAGCTTCAACAAAAGATTTAGCAAAGCCAGAAAATGCATATATTAGAAAAAGAAGAAACTTATTGGCTTGTGGTTTAGCTTGGGATACTAACAAAAACAGAGGTGGAATTTCAAAAAGAGTAACAAATTCAAGTAGAACAACACTAGCATTAGCTGCAGCTATGAATTGTTGCTCATCATCAAGTTCAGGACTTAGCAGCATTAGTGAAAACACAACAAATTCGTCCTCAACATCATCTGTTCCTTTCGTGTCGCGCCTTAATCCTCATTTCAAAGAGTACAACAATCACAACCATAGTAATGGATTGAATTCTCCTTGTTTATCGCCATTAGCTCGTGGGAATTTCTCGGGTTGGAGATCATTTTCCTTGGCTGATTTGCAGCAATGTGAATTTGTTTCTGTTACAAGAAGTCCTACATTAGAAGCTGCTGCTACTGCTGCTGGTGGTAGTAATGCCAAAGTGGAAAATGAGCTAACTTGAGCATATGGAATAATTCTTGTCCAAGAATTTCCATAGAATTAGTATAAACAGAATTTCTTGTTCAGTTTAATTAGCAAGAGGATTCAAGAATTCTTGTCCTTTTAGCTAGCAAGTCTCAATGCCCATCGTTAATAGAAGCATCAAGATTCAAATGCGTATGGATAACATCCTTTTTTTAATTAGATATAGCTTACTCTCGTAGCATGTCAATTAGTGAACCATCGACATATTTTAATTAATGAACGTATAGTAGATATACCGACTTATCGCTGCAACTCATTAGTCATTTAACGTTGGGAGATGAATGAATGAGCAATTTGGGATGTAACATGAGAAATGAGGATATGAATTCCTTTAGATAACATTTTATGAGGTGAAATTACTGGTGGCCTGTTTAATAGTCATGCCTATAGCAACAACAATGCCTTAATGGATATAGTTGATTTATAGCCTGTTTGGCCAAGTTTTATTTTGGGCCAAAATTGCTTTTTTGGCCAAAAACACTTTTGGCCATAAAATTGAGGTGTGTGGTCAAGTTTTTGGAAGGAAAAAAAGTGCTTTTGAGGAGAATCAGAAGTAGAAAAAAGTAGCTTCTCTCCAAAAGTACTTTTCTGAGAAGCACTTTTGAGAAAAATATACTTAGAAGCAGTTTTCAAAAGATTGGCCAAACACTAATTACTGTTCAAAAGTACTTTTCTAATTAATTAGCCAAAACTTCTCACCAAAAGTATTTTTTTTAAAAGCACTTTTGAGAAAAGCACTTTACGAATACTTTTTAAAAGCACTTTTGAGAAAAGCACTTTACAAAATAAGCTGATTTTAGAAGCTTGGCCAAACGGGCTATTAACTTTGCTTCTTTTTATCTCCTCCACTTCCAACTTTTAACAAGTTTTTATCTTATGTAGAGCCCATATTGCTTTACTGGACAAAGGACCCCCACAGTTAAAGTGACAACATCCCCAAAGCCAACAGTTAACTTATCCCCACTGTTTTCCCCGCTAATGGAGCTGGCACCAAGTGATGTGGAGATAGGAAAAACCAATTTTTTCGCTTGAAGCAAAAGATTAAAATAGGACATTATTTTGTCACTATTAAAGCAAAAGCAAAAGACTTTAAATGTCACTATTAAAGGACATTATTTTGTCCTACCAAAATAGGATACTCCACCGCAGCTTAGGAAGTGTAAAAAGTTTGAATATTCTGGATTTCAGATTTCAGCGTGACCTCAAATGATTCTTTAAACTTTTGTGTATTTACATAATAACAAACTAAATAGAAGACTTAAAACCATACATTTTTACAACTAACAAGAAATTGAAGATAACGCTGTGTTGAAAGACGAATGCCTAAACAGGATTTTGCAGTAAAGGGAATACTGGTACAGATCCTTCATTAAAGCAACTTTGAGTCCAATCCAACGCAAGAAAGGGAAGGAAAATTAAAAGAGAACCAAATAGCAAGTAAATACCCCATCTTTCAAACAATATTTTTTATCTTAAATTGACAAACCATTTTCTAAATGGGTACTAAGATTATCGGAATCTTTCAGCTAAAATTGACCCTATGGATAAGCATCCAAATGAAGTATATTAACAAATACAGTAAGCTGCTGGTAGGGCAAAAATAACTAAAGCACAATTATACAGATCACATAATGAAGGATGCAACTCATTAATCCTCGGAACCAGGTGCAAGAAAGAGCACACTTGCCGAACTATGAGACTTTGGCTCACTATTTACACTTGAGCGGAACAAATGTAGGAGAACTTGAATGGTTGCAATTGTTACAACATGACCGATTTCGATAATTTTCCAAAACATAAAATAAAAACAAAAGGGTATTCACAGTAAATGTACATCAACAAATACAACCTATCATTTGTACAGGGAACGGAGATGGTTAGTGAGGTAAAGGAAATATGGCTACATCTCTAAAATGGCAAGTGCCTTGAAAACTTCAAAGACAGGATGATACAACAATGAAGTAACCAGCATGACAGATATACAGAGCTCAAAAGAGGAGGCATTCCGAAAAAATAGGAAGCCTTTTGAGTAATTGCACCTAATGCCTGTACAGATCCTACTCTAGACCTACACTGCCGTGTAACCAATCTGATGGCATTTTCTTTTTGGATGACAACTTGTCCAGCATCTCCAGGAATCAGTTCCCAACTTCAGATGCAGTTTTCCCCAGGCAAGAATTGGTGAAGTTGCACATTGCACTGGGCACGAATGGACAATGCTGGGAGTTGTAAAGAAAAGCTCCGAACGTGCCAAAAGAAAATTTACTTTGCATGCTGTATCATGAGCAACGCCGATGGATATTCAGATAGGAATTTTGGCAGCTCCATAAGTGAAGGATCTAACTCAGGAAGTGCCATATAAATGTCTTCTGTTAAGAAGGGAATACTGCAAGAAGCAACAAATAATTGAAGAAGGCAACGGGGAAATGATCAAATGAATTCTCCATACACCAAGCAACTGATATGAAGCTTGCACCTTATGGGCTCATATTTCATTAAGCAGAAGGCTTGGTTAACGTCAAACCGAATGGCATTTGCAATATTGATGTGATCTATGAACTGGTTCTTTATGCTATCCTTAAATATTTGGTGTGCTAAACTAAATGTTATTGAGCATTTGTGTAACCAGGACAAGCTGCTAGTTAGAAAAATCATTTCTAATGATTAAGATATTGTTAATCATCGACGATATCCATCAGAACTGAACAGTTAACTAATTTATATCCAACTTTGACAGAGAACAATTAACAAGTAGTTTTAGGATAGGCATACTTCAAAAGGAAAAAAAATGCTGGAATAGCAGTATATATCAGTAAACCGTACCTCAGATCATCATCCAACAAAAATGAGTTAGATGTTAGATTCTGAGAATCCTTGTTTAAAATCTCCCTCATCTGTGCGACAACCTACAGAGTACACAGAGTCATAAGCCTATGAGCCAAAACATTTCCGGCAAAAAGACTTGGGAGAAATGCATTGAAACACTAACCTCATTTGACACACTTTGAGTTCCATACTTGTCATCCCAATACATGGTACTAATTCGATATATTTGTCTGATTGTCAATGCCTGTTCAAGATGAAATACTCCGGATATTCAGTCTGCAAACAAGATTGACATCACAATGACATGTTGTGCTATTATCTCTTACCGGGCAAAGGTCCTGTCTTATCTCTTCCAGTGATTTCTTCCTCTTCTGATGAATTACCTAGATAGTCACGGCAAATAAAATTTAAAGCTCGGAATGAAACGTTCAGCTATTAAAGTGCTATTAGCAAGGTATGGCATTTACCAGAAATCCAACAGCTTGTCTGATATAATTAAGTTCATGCCAAGATGTACCTGCAAACTACATTCAGCATCCACGTACTTCTTTGTCAGTTCAACATCTACATTGGAGAATGCAAAGGAGAAAAAAAAAATGTCTTTCTTAATACCTCTTCTTTTGCATTGACAATCCATTTTTCTAGTTCTGCCAAACCGGACTTCACATATTCTCCATTTGAAAATGTGCAACACTCTCGTCGGAGTAAAAGACTTGCATAACATCAAAGAAAATCATAAGCTTTATTTTCACAAAAGAAAAAGGATAAGGATTAAAAGAAGATACTTGTAAGTTAATGATACCTGTTAAAAAGTGATATGTTGATGAAGGAGAAAACCTGGGTTGTCAGCTTGCGGATGAAAAACGAAGGCACCTGGAAATACATCCATTTGTAGACAGTAAATTGACAAGAGAATGAAATTGAAAGTTTTGAAGTAACAAAGAGATAGAAAAAGCAGACACCCTCCTATCACCCCAGAATCTTTTGCAGTGTACTATCAATGCTGTAATTGCAAGGGACACAAAAACAGAATACAAGCTTTTTTGAAGCAATACCCAAAAAAAAAAATATCATTTGGATGCTTTGGAGGTTATTGAGCTATACAAAATAGAAGAAAAGGAAAATTAAGGAGTAATTGATAAATCATCAAGGTGTAATATATCATTAAGGTGATCAGGAATCCTCGGGGAGCACTGAAATAGACGTAGAGGCAAGCTGAATAAGGCATGTGCACATTGCGAACTAAATAACCTGACCACAGATATCCGACACAAATATGGGGACTTGAGGTGGCTTTTGTATCTATTTTATATGAGGACTTCAACTATCCTCTTAATGTTTTCCAAAGAAAATATTTGTATTGTAAAACATCGCAAAATCCTGGTCAAATGCAAAGCTTAAAATTGGAGTGGTGGTGTTTTTTTTTTTTTTTTTGGGGGGGG